AATAAATAAACACGACGTTATCGAGGTATAAATATGTGTTCGTTTAGATATTACAATAAATAAGTACTATATTAACATAGACGTGTAACGATATAAATTAAAACAAAGAAAACAGACAAGAGAGGGCGCGAGTATGTATGCGTGCATGTGAGAAGAAGGAAGAGAGAAAGAGAAGGAGAGAAAGCGAGAAGAGATGGGGCGAGGAAAGAGATAACAATAGGGTGAATGAAAAAAATTGAAAAATGAGAAAACATTGACTAGAAAAAAGAAAAAAAATCGTAGAAAAACTGAATTTTTTTATAGAGAAATATTCTAAAGAGATATTACGAAAATAGCGGTATAAAAAAAAAAAAATATATATATATATATATATTGTTTCCCATATTCTTTTCCGCACAGTGTACGTGGCTTCGATTTTACGAAAATAAAAAAGAAAAAAAAAACTTTAGATATCCCAAGATATCTAAACAAGATACGAAACAAAATATACATAGAAGAAAAGAAGAATCAAGAGAATTTAGTACGATATTATTTAAACGAAAAATAAAAAAAAAGAAAGAGAAAAAAAAACATACTTTACTTACGGAGAGAATAGTACTTTACTTTTTTTCATTACCGTTAGAATTTAACGGTAGATTGAAAAACGAAAAAGAAAGAAAGAAAAGAAACAAAAAAAAAAAAGAAGAGATTGTTCATGATATCCGTTACCATCTTCTTTTTTCGATCGCGATCCGTGTTTGCACGTATCGCGAAAATACATTTCGAAGGAAACGCGTTTCGTTTCGCGTCGAAGTGTGGAACTTTCGGTTAAAAAAAACGAATTACGTGTGGAAGGATCAGGTTTTTTTTTTTTTTTTTTTTTGTTCAAGCAGAGAATTAAAGAGAAGTTTCGAAAGCACACTGAAATCGCGAAACCGAACAACGGCGAAGCGAAGCCACGAGGGCCACTATGCGGAGAGAAAGGAGAAAGAGCGAGGGCGAATCTCTATACGCGAGAGCGAGAGGCAAACGAATCGTCGTCGTCGTTGTGTCGTAATTGCACGAGAGGGGGCATGCTTGGAGGAACACGTACACGCGTAAACAAAGAGGTACACGCATATACGTACAGCGCACACGGGAAATAAAGAAATGCACGCGCGGAGATAGAACGAAGGACACCGTGCCCCCGCGTGTGCATTCGTTACGTTGTTAAACATTGTCCAAATACATAATTGTTACTAACTTATAAGGTGAGAACGGAAGGATGCGAGTCTGTGTACGAATGTGAAGGAAGGTGGAAGGAGAAAACGAATGCGAATGAAAGTGGAAACGGATAAAGAAGCATATAAATATTATACATATATAAATAGATACGTATTACGAAAGGGGCAGAGAGAGAGAGAGAGAGAGAGAGAGAGAGATCGGATAGAGGAAAAAAAAAAGGTTGTAAATCGAAATGATCTTAGAAAAAGCACGATTGCGCGATTACATATGTAAATATCTGTATTTACATGTATATGTATATAGGTAAAATTTACGTGTATACATATATATGTATGTATACGTGTGAGTGTGTAAACACAACATGTGAACGTCCATGTATACGCACACATGTAAACGTACATATACCGTGTTTGTGTATGTATGAGAAATCTTAACGGAGGGAAAATATATGCGATGATGTACGCGTGTGTCGAGAATAACGAAAATAACGAGTGAAAGAAAGTGTAGCTAGCTATCCGCGAATGCTTTCCGTGCAATTTTTGCGGTTGAACGTAACAGGTGATAGCTGCTGCGTACCGTTGATGAAAGCAAGGAGAAACAGAGAGAGAGAGAGAGAGAGAGAGAGAGAGAGAGAGAGAGAGAGAGAGAGAGAG